CCAACTTTGAAGAGCGATCTACTCCAAGTTTTGAAGAAAGAGTGGGCAAAAATCCCACAATCTAAAATTGACGAGGTGATTCTCATGGTGCCCCAAAGGATCAACAAACTCCACGAAGGGAAAGGAAGATCTAATGCATATTAATTAAATTATAAATATATCAATTCATGTGAATATGACTGAAAAATTTCATTTTTTCTGAAAAGGTGGTGTCTATTTACTAGTGACCATGCTGTGTACAATAAAAGGAACTTTTCATTATATCAAAATCATAAACAAGTCGACTTATTTTATAATTAATGTAAACAAAAAGTTTCATTTGATAAATTTTAAACTCATTTTATACTATCCATTCAAGCACTTACGTAAGCCAATAAGGCTTAATGTAAACACAGACTGACAAACAGTAGTCTTGGTGGTGAAACAAAACTTGATAAGGTTGAGTGAAAAATGATCTAAGCCAAACAATTTTGTACTTCATCTTGTTCTATAAAAAACATTTCTTTTATTACCATATTGAAACATCATAATTTAACTAAGTATAAAATGAAAAAGCAAGCTTTAAAAAACAAAACAAAAAACAATTGTGATGAAAGTTGTTCACAAGCTTTTATAATTTGTCTACCTCTAAAAGCTTCTCCATTGAACTAGAAGCCAAATTATCTTATACAGTTGAGAAAAAAAAAAAAGAGCTTTAATAACTTGTTTATATCACTAGCCCATGACTTCCAGAGGCAATATAAGAAAATACATCATACTATGACAACTGAGGTTGAGAAATGGTGATTTGTTAAAATCAATAAAACTGCACTTGTATTGAAGTTATAAGGTTCAAATTGAAGCCATTTTATTAATTACTATTTCGAATTTCCTCCAATGGAAATAGCACTATACTATAATCAGAAAAATTTCAGGAAATTCACATTAACTAGTATTTTTGTTTAGAGAATAATGTAATCAACTCAAAATCGAAATTACAATTTAAAATATTTATATGTATATAAAATTAAATAAACTTTTTTCAAGTCTGAAGAATTTTAAAAATGTGTCCAATTTTGCTTTTGAGGTAGGGTATCATGGAGGTAAAAATACACAAAGAATTAATAACATCTTTCAAATTGGAATATGAATGAAATAACCTGATCTGAAGTTTTAATATATACACCTTGAAAATGTGTCTCAGATATGTAAATGATAATGCAGTTTATATATAAAAAAGTAGTTCAATATTATTTGAATTACAACAAAAAAAATCAAATTACATTTGAATTGCAGAATTTTCAAGTGTTTCATTTCAAGATTAAGCTGACAGAGTACAAAACAGACAAAATTAAATTTAAAAAATACAAATGCAATTCACTAAGATTCCATAAACATAACAGTAGTTCTATTTGCAGGGTTCCATTATGTAACATACCTTAACACTCTTAAATATGTATTTTTCTGCATTTCTTAACAGAGCAAATGAATTTGTTTAAATTTTATGAGAAGCAATATAATACTAATTAAATATTTTACAAATTCCATGGGTAACAGAATATATTTGTAATAAATTACTCACCTGCCTCCTCATGCAACAATGGGAACAAAGAAAAAAGTGCCACTGGGGTGAGAAAGGCAAAAATTTGAGCATCTGCCATCCACAGTAAACTCAGTGGCCTGTTAAATATCTTAGTGTTAGTTATGTAATAGAAATCTTTCACATTGTCATGTGGAATCTTAACTTATTACAATTACTAACAGATTTCAAACAGCTTAAATGAGACACATCAATAATAATATAAAATATCAAGTGTTGTCTCAGATTATTACTGAATTAAACATTTTACACTAAATGGCATGAGAAATACTTGACTGTATATGTTTATTATAAAATGGGTTCAGAATACACACACTATCAACCTAATAACCCGAGCTAAGCCGGATACTTTCACTAGTATGTTATATAAAAGTACAAAGACTAAGACACAATCTTATCTTTTCTCAGTAAGTACATACTAGTACACATTTTTAATTCACATAAATGTTAGCATCTTCAGTATGAAAGATAAATTATATTTTAGATATTATACAATATCAAGATATGGCTACATTGTTTTTAAGATATTTTTGTAAAAAGTAAAAAAAAGTATCAGGAATTATTTAACAAATTTATTGAAATGAAAATATTGTAAAAAATACACAGAATTCAAAATACATTCAGAACAGAAAAAAAATTTATATTTTACAGCAAAAGATTAAACCTTAAAGAAACAAAGCTTTTACTTAAGAATAAAAATCACATTGGAATGAAGTTTCAGTATAACTGTACAAGGTTGGTTCACATATAATTCTGTTCTACAAAGTTGTTCAAAGTTAAAATGACTTTTAAGGACTTTCACTTTCATGTGCAATTTCATGAAGTTACTTGTAAAAGGATACTAAAATAGTGAAATAACTTCAAACTATTGATACATCTGACACTTCTACACTGAGGAAAAAGAGGGAGTTTCTCAATAGCCATGGCAATTGAAACTCATTTAGGCAGGATTAAAGTAAAATAATCTAAGAGACCTTTTTACCTTTTTATTAGCTATATTTTTGTGTGCCAGCAATAACAAGCATGGGGCTTGCGGTATACCTGATTCAATTTTATTACTCATCAGGATCTCTACCAGCCTACCCTTAAATTGAAATTCTTTTAGGCAGGATTAGAGTAAATTAATCTAAGAGACCTTTTTATTAGCCATATTTTTGTATGCCAGCAATATCAAGCATGGAGCTTGTGTATACCTAATTCGATTTTATTACTCATCAGGATCTCTACCAGCCTACCCTTAAATTGAAATTCTTTTAGGCAGGATTAGAGTAAATTAATCTAAGAGACCTTTTTACCTTTTTATTAGCCATATTTTTGTATGCCAGCAATATCAAGCATGGAGCTTATGTATACCTAATTCGATTTTATTACTCATCAGGATATCTACCAGTGTGGGGCTTATGGATACCTGATTCAGTTTTATTACTCATCAGGATCTCTACCCTCAAACTGAAATTCTTTTAGGCAGGATTAAAGTAAATGAATCTATGAGACCTTGGGCAAGGTGAAATACATCAACCAAAAGGGTCTGACCTCCTGAGTTCAAAAGTGTAATTAGAACTCAAATCGACGAAGAGATGACGGAACTATGAGCTAAAAGTTTTTACCTGTAAAAAAAACTCTAAGCCATTCTATGTGCCACAGCTATAAATATGCAAAGTTAAGTTCATTACGCATCTACAACAGACTTTGAGCAATAAAACCAAAAAGACAAATATTTATTTAAGCACAATAATAATTATTTTGACAAATATCTATTGAACCCAGAAAAAAATTTAACAATTGTAAATCAAATATGAATGAGTGACTTAAATGTTCAGAAATATTAGACTTGAAATATGTACATTTTCTAATAGAAGGGGAATACAGCAAAAGAAAAATAAAGATCAGAATTTATGTGTTTTACATAGAAAACATCTAGAAAGGGTGATGTATATTATACAACAAAGAAATGCACTGCATATTATATGAATGAAAAACAGAAATTATTTTGCTTATATATTATTGTAAAAATAAATTGTCATTTACTAAATAGATACATTTGGCAGAATACTGGAATTATAAACGTGCATTATAAGACAAAAAATATGGACATTAATGATTTAAGTTTTAATATAATATACAACTATTTTCATAAAGCTGTCATGTAATTACCTAAAAATACAGAGGACTTAAACCACACTGTAAAATAATATTATGCTAAAAAAAGCAAAACAAAATAAATAGGAAATAAGACACTGAAAAAAAACTATAATTTCTAAAATAAAGAAAATAATGGGCAACAAAGAGAAAAAATGCAAAAACACTATAACAAGTATTACAGAAAACATAAGTATACAAGAAATAGTTAAAGTAATATGAGGAAACATAGTAGCTTAGCAACAGAATCAAATCTACTAATTCAAACTTTTAAAAAAGGGGTGTTATACAGTCATGTTGCTATTAAAAACTGCATAAACAGGGATGACTAATTACAAACTTTGAACATTGTCAAAACTGCCAGAAATGGTTTTTAATTTTAAAAGAGTTTATCTTAGTTCCGAAGTATTTGGTTTTGTACGGTTAGATAAGAATGCAAGTTGCATGATACACCACAACTCTATATATTTTTCAAATGTTGACACTTTCTACTAGTATATATATATATATATATATATATAAATAATTATAAATGCAAACACAACTAGAGGATAATAATTAAACAAACAACTAAGCATACCAAAAAGTGTTAGAAGTAGCAAAAATGAAATTAATATGAACTACAACAGACTTTTGATTTAAGTTGAATATCTTAATTACAATATTTATATTTTAATTATTACTTTCATAAACAAAATTGTTTTCCAGTAGCATTTGTACTATCCTGCTAAATGATTCTATATATAAACAGTAACGTGTGCTGTGGTACCTTACTTCAGATGGTAAGCTATTCTAAAGTACACTATTAGAATCAGGTAATGAGCCTTCATTGATCACTAGGCATTTTTAGATAGGATTAAATATAGCATTACTTTTCAAGGGACAGAAATTGGTGATAGTGAATGAATGAAAATGTTTTTACACATTTTGTAGAAAAATTAAATTTTATTCTTTTTTACAATGTTAATTAACAGTTCGACTAAAATACATTATTATTCATTATTGATTTTGTATTGTTGAGAATTATTTTGCACTATTAGCTTACTACATGGACTTAAGACTTTCCTAATCTTTTACATTGCCTTAATCCCATGAGATGGTATTAGGATTATAGCCAAAAGTATTGCTACCAGTGAATGTATCCAATAAAAAATGGTATATCAATATTACTTGGTTAATATTTAGTTCTTATCTATGTAAGTGAAGATGTTCCCGAACGTATTGAATTCTGTAATTATGTGCTGAAGGTAAAGCCCACTCCTGCTCGTGAGTTTCCTCAGTCATTAGGTTGGGACCCATGATAGCAATGGAGAACCTCATGTTAACAAGACAACTGAGGACTCTATATTGAACTGAAACTTTGAGCATTGTGTGTTAGTAGATGAAAATAATGAAGTATGATATTCTAGGGTTAAATGAGATTAGGTTGACTGGTTCAGAGACTTTTATGAGTGAAGGATGTAAATTTATGTATTCAGTAGGATGTGAACATCACAACAAAGTAGGTTGGCTAGTGAAAGAGGAATTAAAAAACTGTGTGAAAGCATTCAAACCTATCTCAGAGGGATTAATATTAGTCTAATTTTGGGCAAACTTTTTTGAATTAGGCATCACTCAAATGTATGCTCCTGTATTTAATAGTGAATAAGATGAAACAAAGGTTTTTATCAGGATGTTGATGAAACAATGCTGGGAATTAAGAAAGAAAGATGACCTTAATGCAAAGGTAGGAATGGGAAGCTAATAGGATCGCATGGCCTTGGGGAATTAAAAACAAACAGAGGAGATTGATTAGCACAGCTTTATCAAGAAATAGTATTACTAATATACAATATTTGATTTAAATATCACCCTAAGCAGGATGGTGAAATAATTGTGAGAAATCAGATAGACTACATCCTAATTATTAATAAAAATTTTGAAACTCTTATTACAATAGCTAGAACTTATTGAGGACAAGACTGTGATTCTGATCACAACCCAGTGATTTGACAAATAAAAATAAAACTGAAGAAGTTGAACAAAGAGGCATCACAAAAGTCAAAATTGGACTAACAACAGTTTTAAAAAAAAACAACATAGCTAAGGTTTTTGTGATAGAAATTAAAAACAAATTTGAAATATTAATAAAAGAAGAACTTGTAAACAAGAAAACTGAGGACCAGTAGAAGAGTAAAGAGACTTACAATGAGCAAAAGGTTGTGGAGAAGAGAAGAATCAATAAAAAATAAAATCTGGATGAAAGATAGAATTCTAAAAAGAAGAAGGCCGAAAGAAATAACTATCAAGAGGGGGGGGGGACAGAAATGTGCAGAAAGTAGATAGAAAACCTGAAAAAGAAATGTGCAGAAAGTAGATAGAACACCTGAAAAAGAAATGTGCAGAAAGTAAGTAAACACACAGTATGTGAAATGTAAGAAGAATAACGAAACTGAATATGAAATGTAACACATCTCCCAGTGGAGCCATCAAGGTAAGGATGACCAGATACTTTACAAAATTGGGAATATTAAGGAGGTGTGGGCAAAGTGAGAGAATAGTATACTGAAACTAATGAAGGGGGATCGAACATAGAAATGGTAGAACCAATTAATAATGCCCCAGCAATTCTGGAAAGGGAGGTACAGGAAACCATTAGAAGTTTAAAAAAAAAAAAACTAAAAAGCTTGTGATATACATAAGACACCAACAAAAAGTTTTTAAAGTAAATGGTCATCTATAGGGTAAAATATCTGACTAAAATTTGTAACTCAATTTACAGAGGAGGAACAATGCCAACAGATGTTAAAAAGCCTGTTTAAGTGCTTATCCCCAAGAAACCTAAGGCTATGGAATGTGATTGTGGCCATTACAGGACTATCAGATTGATCAGTCACATCTCAAATGTATTAGTAAAGTAATTTTCATAGAATTAAATGTAAGGTTTAGAAAGGATTGTGAA